TAGCTGCGGGTATTTTATTGATGGTCTTTATTAGGTTAAGGAAGCTACTTTCTAAGTTTTCTAAGAGTTGTTTTTTTTTATCATGAATGGATGCTGATATTCTCAAATGCTTTTCTACATTCATTGATGTGATCATTTAGTTTTCTTCTTTAGATTGTAAATATTGTGGACTACACTGATCTATTTTCAAATATTGAATCAGTCTGTATTCACAGAATAAATCCTATTTGCTCATGGTGTATTATTATTTTTATGTGTTGCTGGATTTGATTTGCTAACGTTTTGTTGAGGATTTTGTGTCTATGTTTATGATAGATATTGATTCGCAGGTTTTTCATAGTGTCTTTGTCTTGTTTTGTTATCAAGGTAATGCTGTTTTCTGGAACAGATTGTGTAGAATTAGTGCTATTGATTCTTTAAGTTTTTTGATAAATTCATTAGTGAAACCATCTGGGTGGCTTCAATTTCTTTAATAGTTGTAGGACCATTAATATGATCTACATAATCTTGGATGAATTTTAGTTATTTGCCAGATGGTTTATATGTTTTACCTTTCACAGTTCGGTCTGCAATGAACTTGGAATTAACTTTCGTGTATGATTTGAGGTAGGAGTCAAGTTTCATTTTCCCCTGGTATGTTTCTCTAATTGATCTGGCACCATTATATTTAAAATTACTATAATTTACCACTATTCTGCAGCGCTGTCTTTGCCATAGATCAAGTTTCCATATGTGTGTGGGTCTTTTCATGGACTCTCACTTCTGTTCCGTTGGTCTACATGTCTGTCTTTGGAAATTACCACACTATGCTAGTTACTATAGCTTCATCAGTCTCCATATCTAGGCAAAGAAGTCCTCCTGCTTTGTTTACCTTCCTCAAGTTTTCTTTGGCTATTTTTGGCCCTTTCTATTCCCATGAAAATTTTAGAAACAACTCCTCAAATTCTACGAAAAATGAAATACCCGTCTTTGCAGGATGCGTGGTCAAAATGATTGAATCCAACATTTGACATGGAACTACATTTCTTCTTTTCTTTTTTTTAATTTGGGAGAAGGAAGGCACAGAATACCAAAGGGTTCAGGAGTTGCCCGTGGCACCTACTTCTGGAAGTCAGGCTGAAGGGAAAGGAAAAGAAGGGGTAGTGGTCCAAAGTCCACCTAAGCAGCAGGTGAATCTCAAGATGCCCCCCCCACTGCAGGGACCTCCCATCTCTATAGGAAGGGTGACGTGTAGTCTCTAGAGAGAGTGAAACAAGGTTTCTCTGCACTGCGGGGACATTAGACGCATTTGACCAAGACCACTGTACTAAAAACAAGGTGATTAGCTAAATATGCATAGTGGATATGACCATCATTCCTAAACCTGTTCCCCAGCCCCTCTGTTCCACAGTATTGACAACCAGACCTTCATAGTTAAGTCCTAGAGATTGGGAGACAGTTCTCTGGGCCGTTTGAGCAGCCCGAGGCAAGACCTAGGTCCTGACATAAGGGGTTCACCAAGAAAACCATCCAGTAGGATCCCACTGCAGTGAAACCCAGTTGACAAGCACCACCCATGTACTTAAAGCTTCCAGTCAACTTCTGGGTCTTTCGCTCCTAAATTTGAGCAGACCGTCAGTGATTCCATCAGACATTTCAGGAAGGCTCTAGCATGAAGGCCAGAGACTAAAATGGGTTGGAGGCAGCGAACTATGCCAGAAGGGGAAATGTTTTTTAAAAATCTATTATTGCCTTCTTTTTTAAAGTTTTAAATTTTAATTCCACTCAGTTAACATAGAGTGTTCTATTAGTATTGGGTGTGCAATATAGGGATTCAACACTTCCATACACCACCCAGTGTTCATCACAAGTGCCCTCCTTAATATTTTCTGAGAGATGAGCTATTACAACTGTAAATCAAAAGAATCTATTAGGTCAATCAGGAACATTAACATATGAAAGGAGAAACTGCTGTGATTAACTCATTAGATGCAGAACAGGTGTTTGGTAGAACCCAACCTCAATTCACATGCAGGAACTTGATCTGTGAACAGAAGTTGTGGTGGGAGAAAGGACAGCTCTCCAACTGGGTAAAAGCTACAGGAAGGGAGTGGGTTGTACCCCTGTTTCACCACCACATGTTAGAATCACCTCGAGCTGGATTCTTAAGTGTGAAGGGCAAAACTTTATAGTTCTAGGAGAAAATATGGGGAAACACATTGTGACCTCAGCACGGGAAGGGTTCCTTAAAATACAAAAGAAGCCACTTGGGAAAAGAGTGATGTGTTACATTAAAAGTGGAAACTACTCGGGGCACCTGGGTGGCTCAGTCGGTTAAGTGTCCGACTTC